ACAAGAAACTTCAACGCTTCGAGTTCTCCAACTTGCTCTGTTTCCAACCCTTTCCGTATTCCTTCTTTGCTCTTTACTACTTGTGCAAAAGCTTCCTCTAACAACCGCGAGATTCCCTTTGCCAAGAAATTCCCACCTCCTCGAATCAAATTCGTCAACCAAAGTCCCACCTCCTTCATAATTTATGATTGAGAGGTTATATGGATTTACWCTCTCTCTCTACTCTTTTTCATATATTGTGTTTGGGGAAATTCATATATTCCTCCAACGAAGGCTTTTTTGAAAAGCCTATGAAGCTATGGAGTTATTCGTTGACGAAGCTTTCTGATATGGCCATCCTAGCTCTCAACATATCTGGTACATCTCTCATTCAAGTTTTATTTAAAATTCTCGCATCGCTGACTCGATTAGGAGAGCTTTAACGATTTGTGTTTAACCAATGTCGACTCACTGTGGAGGTTGAATCTAACAATTAGAATCTAAGTAAGTTTTTAGGGTTTGTAAAGTTCTGCAGAAAACCACCAAACGTAAAGATGTCAAGAGAGGTTTTTATAAGCTGTCAAGAAAGTTGTTACAAGAGTTTTTGGTAATGAATTTCGGATCCTCTGCAGAAGATGTGCATGTGTATTTATACTAGTTTAGGTCAGTTAAGGCAAAGCCCAAAAGAATAAGGAAATTTTTTTTTTCCTTAGAGATTTTCCTTTACTCGCAGAGAGTTCTAAGTCGGCTAGCTCTCTTGGGCTTGTCTTGGGCTTGCTCTTATATCACCATGCTTCGTATCGGCCCATCCTGAAAAAGGCCCAACGATCTACTGGTTCACATCGACTCGCCGGTGTAACAAATTGAATCGTCGGTTTAATGAGCGGTTCACCGGTTTATGTCTATACTTAGTCTTTTCAAGGCTGTTGATTCCGGTGGGAGGAATCTGACCCCAACACTCACCTATTAGAGCTAAAGTTTCCAGCCACATTATAAACTTAATGTTGGTCGGAGATTCCTAATATCTTCTTTATGATTTTCATCTATCATTCTCTACGTTTGCTTAGGCTGATTAGAATTCTTGAGCTGCTATTGGACAGATGGATTACAAGAAATTTATAAAAGAGAGGGTTAAACGCACACTTTTTATGGACGAACCTACAGTACGAGCAAGAGCAATCCAAGATTGTCTATCACTCATCTAGGGACACTTTGGGAGACTCGGATCAAGAAGATGAAAGAGAAGGTCTCACATTTGTTCACGTCACATTTTTTGGTTGGCCAAAAAGAGCATACTGTTCTAAGGTAACTTTCTTTGTTCCTTTGGCCAAAAAGAGTAGATTTTGTTGCTTACATAGACACTACTTGTGAAGCTCTGCCCGAATCTATCTTTGAATAGCAAAGTTTTTTTCTATTATTGCTTGTGGCGTAGTCATATGTTGATAAACATCCCAACGCTTTTTCTTTCTTATTTTAGAGGTCAAGCTTGAAGTAATGGACAAAAAATGGACAACTAATTGGTTCAAGCACGTATAGCTCTAATATATGCATATATAAATGTAGAAGTAATTGTTTCCTTTTGTAGATCATACTTGATGTGCCAACTATTGAGGTAAATGCAGACCGAGTTATTTGTAATTCACATGGCTGGTTTAGAAAATACAGACTAAGTTGGACAGACTGAAATTGAAGCAAAATGCAAGTAATGTTCGCTTCTCTAGCCTCTCAATTCATTTAGTTTTGTAAAAATTATTATGTTATGGAATTATTTGACATAAGTGAGTTCTCTTATCTACACCAAATGGAGTTTCTCACATGCCTTTTAGACAGGAAGCCGACTTTATTGATAAGAACACTCAAAGGATTACAACAAAGACTCTTATGTTTTCTCTCACACTTGGTTTGGTTTACAACGCCTACCCAAGCCAATAATTAATTTATTACAATCTCTAAGGAATATTACAAAGCATATTCCCTTAGATATTCTTTACCTAACTCTCACGTGATACTTGTGCATTACCTGACTCACATTCACACG